AACTGATATCATTTTTTTTCCACACACAACCGTTGCTGTTTTGTTTTGTTTTTAAAATAGTGAATCAACAAGTGAGAAAAGTCTCTCACCAAAATGAAACAAAAGAAAATGGAATAATCTGAAAAAAAAAGTTTTGAATGAAAAAAAAATGATTTTGTGGAAGATTGAAGGAATTCTTTTTTCCTTGACCTTCAGTTTTGGAGATGATGTCATGCACGCTAGCATTTGTGGCTGCTTGTTTATGATGATGTGAAACTGTGCTTAAAAGTCATGCTTTTCTGCAAGTGGCTGAGAAGTGGGGGGCACGGCAGCCTCCATATGTGGCAAGCAGTGGATTGGGGAGGGCACTGGCAGCAGAATGGCAGATAGGGAAGGGAGCAGAAAACAGAGCAGCAGATCAGGCAGGGAGCACAGGAAGGAAACAGAAAGTAGAGCAGCAGATCGGGTAAGGGAAGGGAACCGGAGGCAGGGTGCGGGGCTGATTTGTGGTTGGCCCCCACCGGCTTAGAGGATCGCTAGCTGGGATTATAACCCAAGTGGAATAATCAGAGCAGACCTGAGTCCTTTTACTCAACAAGACGCACGGTCTATTGTGTCCAGACCCACCGCAATTGCATCTTCCAGAAAAAAGATCAATAAGCCGATGGGTCTCCAACCCTTCTCCCTACTGTAATGTTAGCATAGAAATAAAGATCTCTCGGTGCATGGAATTTCCTGGGGATTAATAGCCATCATCAGCATATCAATGCATCAGCTCCTTCTAGCTCCTCATTAATTCCCAGGAAGTGCCCACTGCCTCGGCCACAGGGACTAGGATCAATTTACTCGCTAGACCCAGCTGCTCGGGGTACGTCCATCTGATTCACTCGCGAGCAATGTTGAGTAACAAAATATACCATGTGTTTTCCGAAAGCTCCCAGCAGGCTTCTGGGAAGGAGTAGTGAAATAGTACTTTGGGAGCCATCAAAATGAGCCCGTTCACGGTAACGGCGGGATAAACACAGCCCAGTTGCTTGGCCTGGACCCTGTGTGTTACCGCCAATGTTTGAAAGATATTCCCGATGCCGAGATCTCTAAATGAGCTGGGAGTCTGGGAGCAATATTTGTTAGACCCCAGTCTGGGGGGGCTTGATCTGATGATGCTTAAAGTGCTTCTTCACGCATGCTACTGGGACTGGGTGTCTCAAACTCCTGCGCCAGGAGCATACCGAACAGCAAACAGCCACTATGTCATGGAGACATCATGGCCCAGTGGAGGGGAATTCAAATCAGGCATTAAGCTGCTGATCCAAAGCTGCTGAAATGAAATGAAACACCAGAGGGGTTTGGGGGAGACGCTGTTTCCCCTAGCGCCCGCTGGCATAACAAGGAGAAATGGGCACAAGCTGTTGGAGAGGAGGTATAGATTGAACATCCGCAAAAACTACTTCACCGTTAGGGCGGCTAGGAGCTGGAACCAACTTCCAAGGGAAGTGGTGCTGGCCCCTACCCTGGGGGTCTTTAAGAAGAGGCTGGATGCCCACCTAGCTGGACTCGTTTGAGTCCCATTTCTCTTTTTGGGGTTTTTGTTGTTCTCCCGCCCTGGCGGGGGGTCGGGCTAGAAGATCTACTAGGTCCCTTCCGACCCTTAATCTATGAATCTATGAATCTATGAATCTATGAAATCAAGGCAGGGGAGGGGCAGCTTTCCACTGACTTCAGCAGGCTTTGGATCAGCCTCCAAATCACTTGGATCTTTGAGTTTGTCCAAGCTGTATCCTGGCACCCTGAGGGCACAGCAATCGAGATGGGTCTACCAAAATGTTGCTCGGCCCTAAAGGATCCCCTCCACGGAGGAGAAACTGGAGCTCACAACTGTTGCTGCTTCCTCCTCCCCCCGCCCCATTATTCAGCTTGCAAACTTTATTAGCTGTCAACGTGTTAAACTTCCACTTAGCTGCACAGCTGCATGGCCAGCCAGGCTCCAAAGTCCTGCTAATAAACTTTAATGGACTGAAGGGCCTCTCAGATGGAGGGGAGCCCATGGGCATGGACTCAGAGAACAGGGAGAATAAATGGGACTAGAGGGAGCTCATTTCATATCTGAAAGCAAACAGTGGCAAGCGGGTGAGAAGGAAAAGCAGGTGAGGGACCATCCAGTGCGTAACCCGGTGAGAGCCGATCTATGGTGGGAGTTTCGCTGGGCACATGAAGTAACAAGAGTATCACCTAGATTTGACTTCAACACGCTCTTGGGTTGAAAGCAGGATTTGCTGGGTACAATCCCACCGCCTTATAGCAGGTCATGAAGGCAGCACGCTCCAACAGACGAGGCACTGGACTGGTGCTCAGCCAGCCTAGGTTCAATCGCTGGGTCTGCACCACCTTGGAAAAGTTGCTTGCCTTCCCTGCACCTCTGTGTCTCCTCTCCCCTTCTGCCTGCCTTGTCCATTAACTCTGTAGGCTCTTTGGGGCACGGCCCCCTCTCTGACTATGTGCTCGTACCGCACCTAGCACAAGGCCCATCTCTCATCTCCATCTCCCCGTCCACAAAACACCGAGATGCAGCATCTAGCACAAAGCCCTGATCCCAGCTGTTGCTACTGCTCTTACCAATACAATGCTAGGAGGCCTTCGAGTCCCCGAAGAGACGGGAATGGGGCTGCAGAAGGTGGCAGGAGTTTCCCTGCTGGGTGCGTGTGTGTTTTTTTTTCCACAAGAACTTGATTGACTAATGTTTGTGGGTCCCGAGAGCCAGTAAAAGATCTGCTCTGATATCCAGAAAATTTTACAAGGGGCGGCAGGCTTAAAAGTGGTGGGAAGAAGCCGAGCCTGCCAGGATGTCGGAATGAGAAAGCCATCAGGAATGTGCCTCGGAGAACAGCTGCTACTTGGGCTCTGGCAGGAGCCTCCCCGCGAGCTGCCTGGGAGCAGAGAGAGGGATTCGCGGATCACGGCTCCAGATGCAGGAAGGGGCTTTACTTTCCTTCATTTAGCCACCGATGTTGCTTTGGCTTCCTCTGCTCCCTGCCCGCTTGTCACTGGGAGGTCAGCCCTCCATTTCAAGGCCTGGCATGGGGCTGCGTGGAGGACTCTGAGCAGATGGGCATCCCTGGGACTTGCCCTCCCCTCCCTGCTCGCCCTGTTCCTGGCTCTGCAACACAGATGTGTTGTTTCACCATAAACATGTGCTCAGAGGTGCTTGGCCAAGTCAAATCCGCCCTCCGGGCACCTTTCTTGGCGCGCGTTCGACACATCTGCACCTGCTCGTACCTCCATCAAGGTCTGCTCATGTCCACATCAGTCGAGGTACAGGACAACGGCGGCTTGGTGCTTAAAAGGCCCCTTCATTGACAAACTCTCTCTGCCCAAGCTGGAAAGAGCACGGCTTGCTTGGAGCAGGTGTTGGGGGATTGTCAAGGCTGCACAAGCTCTTGCAGTGCAAAGGACTACCAACCTGTCCTCTTGTACTGATGCCACCCCCTCCCTGCCAGCAAGCGTCTGCTACCGAGCCTCTCCCCAGCCCTTCCCGGAGGCAGAGATATACCCCCTGCCTCTTGATTCACCTCCCTGCAAAAACCACGGTGCATGGTGCAACTTTCTGCCCGACAAGAAATAAAGTGGTGTTTCAGCTTGAGAGCAGCTTGGTCCCCACCACCCATGCCCCATACATTAGGAAGGCGAGAAACCCAATATAATGCCTCCGACACAGAGAAGCTGCTCGTTGGAGGAACATCCATCTAGCCCCAGCCCTCGCTACAGCCTTTCACAAGTGGCACGAATGGCATCTCCATTGCTAAGACCTCTAGGCGTTGGCTACGCTGCATCTGCTGGGGCGACGCGGCTTGTGCCTGCGGGGAGCCTGGCCTGAATTAGAGCATCTTTTCCATCTCGGAGTAGGAAGGGGCCGATTGTCACCCCTCCAGGAAAGGCTCCTGAGAGGTGAGAAGATGCACGGGAAACCCTATGAGACGGAGCATTCCTGGCTTTTCATCTCCTTCGCTGAGGAAGGCGGCAGGGGGAAGAGGGTTGTCCGACTGGCTGGCTGTGGGGAAACGCCTTCCCTTGTCTGGCTTTGGGTGTGATTCAGCCCTGCAGACCTGCTACAGAAAAATGCCTGTTTTGCTTCCATCCGATTGCTTACTTGGAAAGTCATGGGGCTGGGCTGCTCCTGCCCTCCCTCCCCTTGCAATTCAAGCCCAGACTCTACACACAGAGACCCGATGCGCAGCCTGAAACCTAATAGCACTGCCCGCACGGAGGACTGACTGCTGGTGTCTCCATTTCACTTCTTTAGCCCAGCACAATCCTCAACAGCCCTCCCTTCCCCTTCCCTAGGGGACTCTATTATACCCACCGATCTGTTCACACTCCTTATCCCTCTGCATGTTTGCACACACTGCTGACCCAGCCTTTATCTGCAAGACATAAGGGTCTCTGTGTGGAGTTCCCACAAGGGCTATTAATCGTGTAGATGTCAGAGTCCCACCTCCCTTCCCCTCCCCTTTTCTCCCCACTCTTCGCAAACTCTCAGGAGATGTTCAAAAATTTTAAAAAAAATACATATCACGTGCCAAATCTGCAACCTTTGCTGAACATGATACAGTCCCCTGGGCGGGGGGAGAGGAGGCTGGGGGATGGCGAGTGGTGTGCCCCCACCCTTTTATCCGAGGTCAATGGTATAACACCTTCCCGTCCCAAAGCAGAAAGCACAGATCTGAACTCCCCACCCACTTTGGGAAAGTTTGGACCGCAGTCCTACCCTGGATTGGAACGGGGCCGCTGGTGCCTCTGTGACACGCCATCCTCGGACTACAGGGAAGCTTTGGATCTGGCTCCAAACTGCGCGTCTTGAAGCCCTGTTGACATGTTTCCCGAGACAGGGAACATCCACCTCCTCACTTCCAGCTGTCGCCTCTGCCTCTCATCCCAGGGTGATGCTGGAGCCACCTTCCTTAAGGGATGTGGGCTCCCTGCTCTGCTCCCCGGGTACTCTGCCATGTCCTGGCTCTGGTCCTTACCTGCACCCGCGCCTCGGTGAGCTTGGTCCTCTGGGCTAGCTCCTCTCGTGTGTAGATATCTGGGTAATGGGTTCTCTCAAAGGCCTTCTCCAGCTCCTCCAGCTGTTCAGCAGTGAAGGTGGTCCGGCTCCGGCGCTGCTTGCGCTTCAAGGGCAGGTCCGGTTCGGACTCCACGTCCGAGCCTTCATCCAGCCTGTTACCTGGGAAGGCAAAGAGACAGGGAGTGACGTGCGTGTCCTGGAAAAGCCAAAGGGCGAGAGGGCAAAATGTCTCAGGGAAGTGGAGGGGAACCCGTGCTGAACCGATGCTGCCCGCTAAGCCACTGACACATGCCTAATAGAGCAGGTCGAGGGTTTTCTGTCCCCGCTTATGAGGCTTTGGAAAAAGCCCGTGTCTCAGAACGGAAAGAGTCTGAAGGCACCGGCAGCTTTTGACAACTCTCCTGCTTTGTTAGGTTTTGAAGCCCTTGCAAAAATCCCGTTCCCACCTTTCCAGAAAGTTTCCCACTATCTTGGCTTCAAATGCCTTCTCCTTTTGCAAGGTTAGTTAACGGATGCTGACATAACATTAAAGACGGTCAAAACTGAAAGGAAATATTTTGCAAGCGCCTACTCTGGACACTTTCAAGAAACATTTGGATGTTTATCTTGGTGGGATCCCTTGACCCCAGCTGACTTCCTGCCCCTGGGGTGGGGAGCTGGACCCAATGATCCTACAAGGTCCCTTCCAGCCCTGATGTCTATGAAATCTATAATCAAAATCCTTTGGTTGACCCGATCTGAATTTTATTTTGGATCATATTTCATTGAGATCTCAGCATTTGTCTGAATTTGGAAAAAAACGAAGCCTTGAAAACTCACATGGGACGGGAAGAAAAGCTCCCCACTTGGGAATATTTCCAGAATGGGCACAGGGCAGCTCATTTGATGCTGAAAGGAAGGACAGTGATTTTCAATGAATCTATAATTGCCCAGAACTAGGCCGGGGGGTTGTTGGAAGGGCAGAGGATATAGAGGCAAAAAAGGGCCATGAAACATAAGGTACTCAGAGGCAGGGTGATACGGATGCCTGGAGCAGCGGGTAGCCTGCATCCAGCATGCAGTTTATAAGAGACACTCCTCAAGCTGAAGGAGACTGGTAAAGCACACAGTGAGCCTAACCTCTAGGGCACAAGCTCAACCCCAGCCCTGGTTGATGGCTGTTACCAGCGGCTGGGCCTTTGATGGCTCATTGTGAAACAAGTTTTGGGACCTCCGTTCAGTTCTTTATGGAGAATTATCCACACCCCCCCCAAAACCCTGCCAGTTGGCACTCTGTCTTTGCAGAAGGGCTGGGGATTGAGCGGGTCACAGATACTAAATTCCCACGACAAGCCCAAAGGTGGTGCTTCCCCGTCTGTGAGATGCACTCGGCTTAAGGAGGGCACGTGGAAAACTTCCACGGCCGCTGCCTGTGCCGAACTGGCCTCTTCTCCAGGTTTGTCACCCAAACACCATTTGTGGTATCAAATCCATGAGAAAAACCCATCCTCAAGCAGAACATCGGCCCCCTAACTTCAGTCGGTACAACTCTGGACCCTGTCTTTAAGAAGGATGTTGAATCAACAAAACAGTATTATGAGCAACTTAAAGCAACGAAGGGGATGTGGGGAAAGGAATTTGAAGAGCTCCCTTCAGCTCCAAGCAGCTTTTTGGTGATTGCAGGCAATGTGGCATGGACTCTGGAGGGGGAAGATGCCCCTGAGTTACTAAAAAAAAAGATGACCCAGAGTTAGATCCAGGCAATGCTCACAGAGCTGCACCCGGGTTAAGGATCAGGACCAGTGGCTTTTTGTGGGAGAGGCTGGAAGTAAGAGGCGAGACTGCGGCGCTCGTTAGCATCCTCTAGAGGCCTCTCACAGCACAAAGCCAGTCCCAAAGCATTCCCTATATAACCGCAGCCCAGCAGGTTCAGTGTCCTGGTGATGCAAATGCAGATCTATGAGGTGTTTCAGCTAGGGCAGTGCGTGGCAAGATGCGAGAAAATTTCAGCTGAAACCTCCTCTCTTTGCCCCAGAAGGGGCATCCCAATTGTGGCATCCTGCACGACTGCTGAATGGCACAGGTATGCAGGGGATGCGAGGCAGGGCCCGATTATTTATAACAACGGGGTCACAAGCGCCAGTGGCTGCAGGATGCTGCAGCGCCAGGTGCTTTCACCACCAGGCTCTTGGCGAGGGGGGCACAGCGTGGGGCTGAGGCTTGGTCTCATTTATTTGAGCCATACCATGGGCTCTGCTGTAGTTGTGGTGAGCCCATGGTCTCAGAGCCAGGGAAACCACCAAACCACGGACTCACACTGCTCCTAGCCGCTGCTGTGGGATATGACTGTACAGCACCATCAGGTTTCCGAGTCTTAGATGCATTCTTCTCACTGAGCCAAAACCTGGCTCTAATGAGGGGCATAAGAGCTCTGGTGCTGACTTCCATGGGACCAGCACCTGGGCCATGGTTTTAGAGGACTTGCAGTCTTAGTCACAGCACAAATGCGATACGTGAACTGTGGCTTGCATTTCTAAGGAAAGTTTCGGGGTCTAAAATGGGGAAGCAAGAATATCTGCATTCCCAAGCACTGCACACCGCGCATGTGAACACTACTCCCTTCACCGTGCATGAATCTGGGCCAGGTACAAGCACATCTGGAAGCTGAGAACATCTGATGAATGTCATTTGTGCAAATAAGATGATCTCTTTGGCCAGCCATGGTTGGCATCTTGAATCCATGTTCTTCAGGGCAGGAATGGGTAATAATAAAAGGGAAGACAGAGGTAAGTTGGGGTCTCAATGAACGATGGCTCTGATAACGATGCAGCACTTGGGAGGGGTCAAGACAAATTCATCAAGTCAGATGCGATTTCTCTGCCCCAGCAGGTATTGTCATGCAGGTAATACACACACTTACCTGCCAAGCTCAGGCTATTTATGATCTAACTGTATGGGGTTTTATCTTTGCTATGCTCAAAGGATTAGCTAGACTTAACTTCAATACAGGAATGGCCATTGGAAAATATTCAGGCACCTGAACCAAGCTCACTCCTTAAGGACCTCTGCAGACTTAGACCTTCAGGTCTTTCCATGGTGATAGAGCAACCGACACAATGGAGCCCCAATCCCCCATCCAGATCCCTATGCGCTGCTGGATCCCAAAGTAAATAATGCAATAAAACCACCAGAATACCTCAAACCCACCTGGCTACCTGGGAGGAAGCAGTAGGACACCTGTTACCAATGGCGATTACTGTAACTGCAGCTCCTGACTTAGTCAAGAATGAATTGTCCACGTATGATTATTTTTGTTACCCCCACTCCCCCCCGCTAAAACAACCTCTTATTTGTCCCCTCCATTCTTGGCTGCGTCTCTGTTAGACCATAAGCATTATGGAGCAGGGGGCTTATTTGATGTACGTTGGTGCAGCCTCTCGGCTCCATCACAGTATAAATGTGAAAATTAAGAATAAATACTATTTTCATCAGACTCACCGGCCTACCTGGAGCTAGTGCAAGAAGCTATGGGCCCATCCAGCTGACTCACCTGAATAACTAGAGCTCAGATATCTATACCCCAATAACTAGAGCTCAGATACTGCTCAGATACCTATCACTATGCTGTATAGCCGTGTAGCTGTATAGGCGTGTAGAAATGCCTTATGGGCATAGGGTAAGTTAAAATAACCCTAGAAGACCCTTCCAAACCTTTTCAGCTCCTCACTTGGCCTCACCACCTTGCAGCCTCTTGTACCTTTTTGGCTGGGATGAGCTGTAAAGGGAAGGAGCTAAGCTTCCTTTAACATCCATGGATCCGCAATACCCTGCCTGCTTCAGGAGAGCTGGAGGGCTCAGTCCTTGTCCTGACACTTAATTCACAGCATCCCCCCCGTGATATGTTGGGTATCTATCTAAGTAGCCACGGTGAGAGATAGTCAAAGCCACCACTGGAAAGGAGCAGCTGCAAGAGAGAACTTTTGGGGCACTTCCCGTTTCCAAAAGCTCGAGCTGGATGTTTTCTGCATTTTACCAAAAAACTGTGGTGCAGAGCGAGGAGGCGACTTGCCCATCGTCACACAGCAAGGCAACAGCAGGGCTGGGAAGGGAACCCAAAGTGCCTGATGCCAAGTCCTGTGCTTCAACAACAAGACCATAAAGCAGGACCAAGAGAGCAAGAAAAATCCCAGGGCACGTCTGGAACCAGCTGCTCTTAGCAGGATGCAGCTGCTACTGTCAGGCACAGATTTATTAAATAATGCAGGCAGCCTTCTGGCTAAGATTGAGTGTGGTATCAGCCTATTATCCAATGCATCCTCTATTATCAGGGGACGATCTCCTGTAACTGCATAAAGATGGATTCAACGATCTAACAGGTCTTTTCCAGCCCTCACCCGTTGGAGCCTATGGCAGGGAAACGTGCTGCTATTATCCTTGCGCTGGAGGTGGACACAAAGCTACAGGATTCGCTACTGCCCAAATGTTATCCAAAGGGGATTCCCTCCAAACTGCCCTCCCTGCAAAACTATTTTTCAGATTGAAAATGTCTGGATACTTCCCCCCTCCCACCCCATGTATTGATCTTTTTATACTGTGCACTTCTGTGGGCTGGGGCTCCAGCCGGGACTGGGAGCAGCAGGGTGAAATAGTGAAGGAAAGGCTGTTTTTGCATTATTTCGGTTCTGGCTGGAAGTAGGCATTTCACAAGGTCCTCACCTGCATTACACAGACCCAGGGGATAGCAGAGTGTGACCTGGGCTATGCACAGATTTTGCATCTGTATATCGATGAAGGGAATGAGACTTTCTTTTTTTTTTTAACAAGAATTGTTATATTAGCACACCCGCTTGTGCAGATGCAGCCGTGCCAGGGAGAAGATGCCTTATACTGTTAGAGTTTGTTCTTTCCTTATGGGAATAAATTATCCTGGTAAAAACACTTTTACACTGGTATAAGTGTATCCAAACTAACAGGCTTGTACCACCAAGACTGTACCAGTACTTCTGCCTGACTTCAGAGTAACACAGCTGACCACCTCTCTATACCAGTATAGTCAAGTCAGTACTAGTGTCCCATGTGGACAAGACCTCAGCTATATAAAGTATTTGAGTACGAGGCCTTCCTGCTTTACCCTATGGAAGAAAATGGCATGCAGAATTGGGTGTGCAGGTTAATCAGCT